CAACATGGTGAAACCCTGTCTCTACTAAAAATACAAAAAATTAGCTGGGCATGGTGGCACGTGCCTGTAATCCCAGCTACTCAGGAGGCTGAGGCAGGAGAACTGCCTGAATCCAGGAAGCGGAGGCTGCGGTGAGCCGAGATCGCGCCATTGCACTCCAGCCTGGGTAACAAGAGCGAAACTCTAACTCAAAAAAAAAAGGAAGAAAGACATTCCATTGAGCTAACTATCTGCCATGGCCAACGACAACTTCAGGCTTTTGGATCTCCTGCCCAATTAAACGTATTAGTTTATCCTACAAAATCTGCAGATATAATGAATATCTGACACTGGAGTTTTGCTTTGAGACTGACACTGGAGTTTTGCTTTGAGAATATACATAAAGCACTAGTGGATGATCTATGCTACATGGTCAGGAATTCCTTTTGGGCCTTGTAAAACCATCTAGCTTGTAGCTACCTGCACCTTGGCCATCCGTTTTGCCAAATACAAAGGTCCTTTCAAGAGTTGAGTGAGCACACTATTCAACTAGATTACAATCTAATTTTCTGTTGTTGCAGTGAACACATAATAAGTGTTCAACTGTAAGTGAAATTAACTTATAATTGTGAATTACTCCAATTAAATTTATTTTCCTTCTCAATTCCATTCTACCTACATCATAATGCTCAAGTTAGATTTGTCACTGGCTTCCAGAGAGCAGCATTTACATGTAATTTAGGAAGTCCTAAAAAGCAATTATGTTTTACTTTTAAACATGGTTCTTGTACAAAAGCTTACGTGTATGATGACACCTTGGGAATTCACAAAACCTGAAATAATATTATATAATTTAGCTATACTGAAAAATAATTCCAAAGAAATCAGAAAGCAGTTCACAAAAGAGCTTGTGCTCCTGTGAGAATCTAATGATGCTGCTGATCTGACAGCAGGCAGAGCTCAGGTGGAAATGCCCACTGGCCCACTGCTCACCTCCTGCTCTGTGGCGTGGTTCCTAACAGGCCATGGTCCGTCCGTGGACCAGGGGTTGGGAAACCCTGGTCTAGGGGGCACATGAAGGTAATGTGGACAAAGCAAGACAGCAAACAGAGCATTTAGAAAGGAACATGTTAAAAGGAATAGAAAAGGAGATATAGCAAGTTGTTGTGTAGATATAATCCCCCAAACCAAAATGATGTAAATCACTCTTGAATTCCCTAATTTAAAAATGTAAAACATTAAGGGGTGAGAGGGGACACACATTAATGTCACCTGGACATTTACATATAACTGTAGCACACTGGATGGTATGTTTCACATATGTACAGAGAGGCATTCAAAACACTTAACAACTGGTATGGCATAGGCATCAATCCTTCAAAATGGACACCAGTCAGCATGCTACACTTGGGTGTACCTGCTGAATGCCAGCCCTGCCTCTAGGACTTGACCCGCATGACCTGAAGAAATCCTGTAATTTTATATCAAAGATTCTTATTTGCTTGCCACTTTTCACTTTGAAATGTCTGGGCGTATGGGTGGGAACAGAGGCTGATATGGTACTCATGCAAAGACTAAGGGCTAATGAAGAGAGATAAATCCTTAAAATATTCCACAGAAACCATTATGAAAATACAGAGTGACAACTGCCTTGGGCTATGTACCAAAAGCCAGGAAACTTAATGACGGCATAAACACAACTCACGAGAAACAGACCATGAAACCATTTGTAGGTGGTGAGTATTTAATTTTCAAACTGTGTATCAGATATGCCAGATACACAAATTCTGAGAATTTACTCTCAGCGGGAAGACAAACAAACAAAAACAACCAGAGGCAAGGATATGGAAAACTGGGTAGTTGCCTTGCCCCTGTGGGGTGATGAAAATAGTATACTAGGGCCTACTGGCTGATAATAATAATTATTATAATTTTTGGGAGATGGTGTCTTGTTCTGTCACCCAAGCTGCAGTGCAGTGCAGTGGCACAATCATGGCTCACTGCAGCCTCAATCTCCTGAGCTCAAGCAGTTCTCCTACCTCAACCTCCCAAGTAGCTGGGACCATAGGCATGTGCCACCACATCCAGCTACTTTTAAATTTTGTGGAGACAAGGCCCCACTTTGTTGTCCAGGTTGATTTTAAACTTCTGGGCTCAAGTGATGCTCCTGCCTCAGCCTCCCAAAGTGTTGGGATTACAGGCATGAGTCACTGTGCACAGTCTGATAATGATTTTAAGGATGCCTAATTTACAATAAGAACTCTATGTTCACCTTATTGTATTTAGGTATTGTATTTTGTTAAGGATCCAAACTTAACAAAAATTAAATCAAAGAAAAATGATTGAAAGTTTTCCACAACCACCATTATGGAAATGCAACTGAGTCAGGATTCTTCATACTGGTATGTGGGACTGTACCAAAAGGAAGTAAAGTAAAAGAAAAAAAAGAACAAAATAAGAATAGTAGTAAAATGTGACAACTGTAGTTTGAGGCTCTCCTAGGTGCAAGATCAGAGCATTTCTGAGCTGTTAAGACAGTAAAATTTGGCTTGAGTTCTATATAAAATAAATTTATCCACTGTTTGAACTATAAATGTTATAACAACTTCAAGCATCAAATTAGCAGTGTCAATGGGAATAAAAGTAAACCTGTAGCAGAGTTAAGTAGAGACTCTGGAATCCAGAGGGACTCTAGCTGAGTCCAAACACCTGCTCCTGTCCCTTACTAGGCTGTATGCCACTGAGCATGCTACTTTATTTTTCTGGGTTTCAATTAATTTGTTTTGAGTACATTTAGGGGCCTATTAGTTGATGCAATGTGCAATTACTTGTGACAAAATTCTCCCAATTCATTATCTATAGGTTCCATACAAAGCCTTCACTTTACCTATTATTATCAATGGTAAAGAGGTGGGGGAGAGACTCTTTTAGGTGTACTTTATCATTTCTTGAAGGTGGATGCATGCTGACTCAGATGTCAAGTGAAAACTCCAAAAAGCTTTCAAGGTAAGACTTTCTTTGTGTATTATTCTGGGTCCATGGCCTTTGGCCACTGGAAAGATCAGGATAGGAAGAACTTCTAGGGACCCCAGAGCTTTGACCTAGGAAGCAAGAGATGTGATCTGATGAAAACCAGGTAAGATCAGTGATATGATACAATGAGATGTGACAATGGATTATTATGATACTACCAAAGGTTTTAAAATTTTCTTGTAAAGTTCCTTGTAGAAGAAAAACTAAGCACAGATAGCAGGGATACTATAACGAGAGATGCACTGCAGACTGCTGTCCTTTTAATCTTTCACAGTGCACTGAATAAAGGGCTCCTGAATTTGGTCAAGACAACATACTATGGTTTTAGCTACAGGTTAAGAAACTCAGTGTGGACAGTAAGGGGTATTATTTTGCAAAAATGCAGCCTCCCACGATGTATAAAATTTGCTGTTAAAAGATAATTTTAATAATTATGCAAACGGTATCAGTACACTGAGCAGGAAGTAGATGACAGTGACCTAGCTTTATTAATGTTAGAAATAACGTACTTTACAACATCATTTTAGTCATAAGGCTGCTGCTTCACTTACCACTTCTGTTGATGTTTCTGCGTGTTCAGAAGTAACATGCTCTTGAAGAGATGTCTCCGTATAGCCCATTTTTCCACAATAGGGACAAGTAAAAGACTGTGGCTGCTCTACAGAGAAAGCTTCCCCACCATAGTATAAATCTGAAAAATAAAGTAGAATTGCATTGAGGAATATTAGTTTTTAAACATATAAAAATGTAATCATATAGTACAATAATGTAAAAAAGAAAGTGTAGGCCAGGAACAGTGGCTCAGACCTGTAATCCCAGCACTTTGGGAGGCGAAGGTGGGTGGATCACTTGACGTCAGGAGTTCAAGACCAGCTGGGCCAATGTGGTGAAACCTCATGTCTACTAACAATACAAAAATTGGCTGGGCATGGTGGCAGGTGCCTGTAATCCCAGCTGCTCCAGAGGCTGGGCCAGGAGAATCACTTGAACCCAGGGGGCAAAGGTTGCAGTGAGTTGAGATTGTGCCACTGCACTACAAAAGAAAGTGTGCCTAAAATATTCAACAACCTCACTTGGTCAAGGAGCGCTAAGGTACCTGTTTACATTTGTAATATCCTTATTCCCAGGAGGACTTCATGGTATTCCTCCAAAATTCCTTCCCCAGATATACAGCTTTAAGAGAGAACTAAGCAAACAACTCCATCCTCCTTCATTTATTTGAAACATGGCTCATTTCACACCTGGCTCTAGTTTTATTGCAATTTACTTTTTCCTTATCTGTATATACTGTGGCAACACTGATACCAACAGAAAAAATCAGCAGGGTCTATCATGTAACAAGGACAAAAGTGCTCAGAGGGAAAGAACAAACAACCATGATCAATATGAGAACCCAGATGTATCTACATGCTGCTCTTAGAGAAGGAAGGACCCTAAATATTTCATTATTTTGTAAATACTAACTTAAGGTAGTTCCAACAAAATTAAAAAAAAAAAATTTTTTTTTTTTGAGAGAAGGTCTTACTCTGTTGCCCAGGCTGGAGCACAATGGCACAATCACAACTCACTGCAGACTCAGTATCTGGGCTTATATGATCTTCCTGCCCCAGCCTCCCACATAAGTGAAGTATAGGTGTGTGCCATCGCGCCTGGTTAATTAAAAAAAAAAATTTTGTAGAGACGGGGTCCCAGTATGTTGGCTAGGCTGGTTTTGAACTCCTAGGCTCAAATGATCCTTTCACGTTGGCCTCCCAAAGTGCTTATTCCTGGGATTACAGGAATAAGCTACCATGCCTGGCCTGTCACAGAATATTTCACACAATTGGGTTACTGGAAAACTAACCAGTTAGAGTCTGTGAGAATAATCTGTTTACTTCATAAGTGTATCTCAAGGAATAAGTCTATTTTTTCCATTAGGTATCTGCTATGGTTCGAATATGGTTTGTCCCCACCAAAGCTCATGCTGTGGCTTGGTCTCCAATGAGGTGGTGTTGGAAGGTGGTGTCTTTAGGTGGTCCTTATCTCAAAAGGGAGTTCTTGCTCTCTCAGGACTGAATTAATTCCCTCAAGAGTGAGCTGTCTTAAAATGAGGCTGCTTGTCACTTACAACTGTTTGGTCTCTTTGCATGTGCCCACTTCCCCTTCTGCTTCTCTGCCATGTTATGACACAGAATGAAGCCCTCACCAGAAGTTGACCAGACACAAACGCCCAATCTTGGCCCTTCTAGCCTCCAGAATTGTGAGCTAAGCAGACCCGCTTCCTTTAGAAATTATCTAATTTCAAGGGTTTTCTTACAGTAAGAGAAAAAAGAGTTAAGACAGAAACATAAAATAAAATGAAAGTATATTCAGTATGTTATGCCACTACAAAGGATTATTTGATTATTTAGCATAAAACAAACAACAAATTTGAGAGAGCTTTTGTGAGAAAAGATAATGGAAGAAAGTGTTTATTACATGATAGATTTGTTCATATTCGTTTTTAAGGAGATTTAAATTATCATAAAAGTTTTTATGCATTATGTATATATTGATCATTTACTAGGTGCACAAGATTTGTCAGGTGGATTTGGAGTAGCTGGCGATAAACGTATTAAAAAGAATAAAACTCCCTCATCTGATAAAGGGCATCTACCAAAAACTTAGCAAATATTATATACTGGTGAAAGACTGGATGCTTTCCCCTAAGATCAGAACAAGACAAGGTTATGCACTTTTGCCACTTCTATTTAGTATTTTACTGGAGGATGTATCCATAGTAAATGAAGGGCATCCAGATATAAAGGAAGAAGTAAAATGATCTTTATTTGCAGATGACATGACCTTGTGTACAGAAAGTCCTAAGGAATCCACTTAAAAACTCTTGGGGCCAGGCGCAGTGGCTCACGCCTATAATCCTAGCACTTTGGGAGGGCGACAGGTAAATCAATTGAGGTGAGGAGTTTGAGACCAGCCTGGCCAACTGGTGAAACCCCACCTCTACTAAAAACACAAAAAGTAGCTGGGTGTCATCGTGCATGCCTGTAATCCCACCTATTTGGGACGCTGAGGCAGGAGAATCGCCTGAACCTGGAAGGTAGAGGTTGCAGTGAGCTGGGATTGCACCACTGCACTCCAGCCTGGGCAACAGAGGGAGACTCCATCTCAAAGAAAACAAACCAAAAAACAAACAAAAAACCCCATAAAACCCTCTTGGAATGAATAAACAAGTTCAGTAACATTGTAGGATATAAAATCCATATGCAAAAAAATCAATTGTTTGTCTATACAGTTGCAATAAACCATCCAAAAATAAAAATAAAAAAACAGCTGAGCATGGTGGCTCATGACTGTGATCCCAATGCTTTTGGAGGCTGAGCCAGGGACCACTTGAGCCCAGGATTTTGAGACAAGCGTTTGCAATGTAACAAGATTTCACCTCTACAAAAAATTTAAAATTCAGCCAGCTGTGGTGGCATGTGCACGTGGTCCCAGCTACTTGGAAGGCTGAGATGGGAAGATCACTTAAGCCTGAGAGATTGAGGCTGCAATAAGTCATGATGGCACCACTGCACTCCAGCCTAGGCAACAGAGAACCCATTTCAAAATAAATAAGTAAAATTCCATTTACAATAGTAAAAATAATACAGATGTTCCTTGACTTACAATGGAGTTATGTCCTAATAAACTTGATAAACTCATTTTAAGTTGAAAATGTGTTCACTACACCTAACCTACCAAACATCATAGCTTAGCCTAGTCTACATTAAATGTGCTCAGAACATTTATGTAACCCTACGGTTGTGCAAAACCACCTAATAAAGCCTATTTTATGTAATTTATTGAACACTGCACTGAAAATGAAAAACAGCATGGTTGTATGTACTTAAAGTTCCATTTCTATTGAACAGGTATTGTTTTTGCACCACTATAAGATCAAAAAATCATACACGGAATCATCAAAAACTGGGGACCATCTATGTTTAGGAATAAATTCAACGGAAGTGCAAAACTCACTGTGATAACTACAAAAGTTTGTCAAAAGAAGTTATGGAAGACCTACATACATGGAAATATATCCCATGTTCATGGATTAGCAGATTTAATATTATTAAGACAGACAGTAATACTCTCCAAACTAATCTACAGATTTGACAGAATCCCATTCAAATCCTAGTTGGCTTCTTTGCAGAAACTGACAAGCTGATTCTACAATACAGAAATGAAAGGGACACAGAATACCCAAAACACTCTTGAAAAAGAACAAAGTTGGAAGACTCTCACTCTTCTGGATTTCAAAGCTTACTATGAAGCTACAGAAATCAAGACAGTGTAGTACCGGCATAAAAACAAACATACAGGCTGGGCATGATGGCTCATGCCTGTAATCTCAGCACTTTGGGAGACTGAGATGGGCAGATTACTTTGAGCTCAGAAGTTTGACACCAGCCTGGGCAATGTGGCAAAACCCCATCTCTATAAAAAATAAAAAAATTAGCCAGGCGTGGTGGCTTGCACCTGTGGTCCCAACTACTTGGAAGGCTCAGGCTGGAGGACTGCCTGAGCCTGGGAAGTGGATGATGGAGTGAGCCAAGATCACACCACTGCACTCCAGCCTGGGTGACGGAATGAGACCCTGTTTAAAAAACAAACAAACAAACAAACAAACAAAAACACCAGACAACAGAATAGACTGAGAGTCTAGAAATAAACCCTCATTGATAGTCAACTTATTTTCAACAAGAGTGCCAAGACAATGCATTGGGTAAAGAATAGTCTTTTCAGGCCGGGTGTGGTGGCTCACACCTGTAATCCCAACATTTTGGGAGGCCGAGGTGGGCAGATCACGAGGTCAAGAGATAGAGACCATCCAGGCAAATATGATGAAACCCCATCTTCACTAAAAATACAAAAAAATTAGCTGGGTGTGGTGGCGCAAATCTGTAGTCCCAGCTACTTAGAAGGTTGAGATAGGAGGATCAGTTGAACTTGGGAGATGAAGGTTGCAGTGAGCCAAGATTGCACAACTGCACTCCAGCCTGGTGACCGAGCGAGACTCCATCTCAAAAAACAAAAAACAAACAAAAAAGAATAGTCTTTTCAACAAAAAATATTGGGACAACTGAATATTCACATGCAAAAGAATAAAACTGGCCCTTTACCTCATTTCATATATAAAAATTAATTTTAAATGAATCAAAGATCTAAATGAGCTAAAACTATAAAACTCTTAGAAGAACATACTGGTTTAAACCTTTGTCACTTTGAATTAGGCAGTGGTTTTCTAGATATGGCACCAAAGGCACAACAAATGAAAAAATATATAAACAGGACATTATCAAAATTAGAACTTTTGTGCTTCAAAGCACACCACCAAGAAAGTGAAACACAACCCACAGAATGGGAGAAAATTTTTGCAAATTATCTATCAGATAAGAAACTTACATATGGAATAAAGAACTATTACAATTCAATAACAAAGACATATCCAATTAAAAAATGGGCAAAGGATCCTGATATTTCCTCAAGGTAGATATACAAATGGCCCATAAGCACAAGAAAAGATGCTCCACATAATTTTATTTCAAAAATATAAATCAAAACCACCTGAGATACTATTTTATACCTGCTAGGAAGGCTGAAATAAAAAGGACAAATAAGTGTTGGCTAGGTAAGAAATCATAGCATGAGGCCAGGCATGATGACTCACATCTGTAATCTCAACACTCGGAGGCACAGGCAGGTGGATCACCTGTCAGGAGTTCAAGATCAGCCTGGCCAACATGGTGAAACCCCATCTCTACTAAAACTACAAACATTTGCTGAGCTTGGTGGTGGGCGCCTGTAATCCCAGCTACTCGGGAGGCTGAGGCAGGAGAATAGCTTGAACCCAGGAGGTGGAGGCTGCAGTGAACCAAGATTGCGCCACTTCACTCCAGCCTGTACGACGAGTAAAATTCCATCTCAAAAAAATTATAGTGTGAAACATTTATATATTTTCTTACAGACAATGTCTTCTAATGAATTGTACAAACAATTTGCTTTTTTTTCCCCTTTGAGACAGCATCTCTCTTTGTTGCCCAGGCTGGAGTGTAGTGGCCCAATCAGGGTTCACTGCAGCTTCGACCTCCTGGGCTCACGTGATCCTCCCATCTCAGCCTCCTAAGTAGCTAGGACGACAGACATATGTGTGCTACCACATCCAGCTAAGTTGTTGTATTTTTATTATTTTTTTTATTGTATTTTTTTTGGGGGGGATGGGGGCAGAGACAGGGTTTTCACCATGTTGCCTAGGCTGGTCTCAAACTCCTGGGGTCAAGTGATCTGCCCGTCTAAGCCTCCCAAAGTACTGGGATTACAGGTGTGAGCCACCACACGCAGCCAACAATCTGCTTTCTGGTCACTACAAGAGGTATTACTGCCAGGCATGGTGGCTCACACTTGTAATTCCAGCACTCTGGGAGGCCAAGGTAGACGGATAACTTGAGGTCAGGAGTTCAAGACCAGCCTGGCCAACATGGTGAAACTTCATCTCTACTAAAAATACAAAAAAATTAGCTGGCCATGGTGGCACACACCTGTAGTCCCAGGTACTCAAGAAGCTGAGGCATGAGAATGGCTTGAACCCCGCAGGCAGATGCTGCAGTCAGCTGAGATCGTGTCACTGCACTCCAGCCTGGGCAACAGAGTGAGGCTCTATCTCCAAAGCAAACAAACAAAAAAACAAAAACAAAAAACCACAGCTGGGCATGGTGGCTCACGCCTGTAATCCCAGCACTTTGGGTGGCCAAGGAAGGCAGTTCACAAGGTCACAAATTCAAGACCCGTGTGACCAATATGGTGAAACCCCATCTCTACTAAAAATACCAAAATTAGCTGGGTGTGGTGGCGTGTGCCTACAGTCCCAGCTACTCGGGTGACTAAGGCAGGAAAATCGCTTGAACCTGGGAGGTGGAGGTTGCAGTGAGCTGAGACTGCGTCACTGCACTCTAGCCTGGATGACAGAGCAAGACTCTTGTCTTTAAAAAAAAAAAAAAGAGCTATTACTTGGGTTTTAATAGCAAGAACAGAAGACAGACCGTATTTTCTTCTTTACTGAATTGCTCTTCTACTTCATACCTTGTCTGTTTTATGTATTTCTGAATGGCTTTTTTAAACAAGTAAACTATGATTAAGATGAAGAGACAGAACTGCTTAGAATATAAAAGTAAGATTTATTTCATTTTTAGTGAATTTGGGGCCTCATGGTTTGCTGCTGGGGAGTTTTAGAACACTTTGCCTTACTTCTTCACCCATACATAAAATTCTAAATAAGGTAATTCACTAAATTTTTCATTACTTACCAAAATCTACCCTTGTTAATATGCACTGCATTGGGTGGTCAGTTGTATGCCTTGTTGTTGTTGCACCACTTTCATAACAAGATGCACAAAGATCGTAATCGTAGCAAATTAAACACTTATATCTGCGACCTCGAAAATTTCCTTTTAAACATGCATCACAGCTGACACCTATAAAAAAAGAAATATCTTTAGTTAGCAGTTGTAAAAAGCCACTCTTGATTTCATTTTTATAAATGTTTCAGGTGCTCATTTAACCTCATACATCCTTTCCAAAATGACTAGAAAGGACATAGTAAAATGATATGGGTATTTTCAGCCATGTGGTGAATTCATTACTCTGATATATACTCCAAATGAAAATAATTTAAAATGACTGATACAGGCCGGGTGCGGTGGCTCATGCCTGTAATTCCAGCATTTTGGGAGGCCAAGGCAGGTGGATCACTTGAGGTCAGGAGTTTGAGACCAGCCTGGCCAACATGGTGGAACCCCGTCTCTACTAAAAATGCATAAGTTAGCCAGGCGTGGTGGCAGGCGCCTGTAATCCCAACTACTCAGGAGGCTGAGAATTGCTTGAACTCAGGAGGCGGAGGTTGCAGCGAGCCAAGATCACGTCACTACACTCCAGCCTGGGCGACAGAGACTCTGTCTCACAATAAAAAATAAATAAATAGGGCCGGGCATGGTGGCTCACGCCTGTAATCTCAGCACTTCGGGAGGCAGATCACCTGAGGTTAGGAGTTCAAGACCAGCCTGTCCAACATGGTGAAACCCTATCTTTAAAAAATAATAATAATTTAATTAAAGTAAAATGACTGATACAATGTAACGCCCGCTCCCCCACCCCCCAAAAAATGCCTTGATAAGTCAGCAAGAAGGTAAAAACCAAGAGAAAGAGGAACTGGTAACTGGAAGCACTGAAGGGGGCTTTTCACCATGAGGATATTTGCCAGAGCAAAATCTGAGCTTAAGTTCCACAACATTGCAGGACAAAGGCCTACTGAAGGTGGAGTAATTAACAGAAGATTTCTCATAAAACCAAGACTCTAATATACCCTCAATGCCTGTGTGGGATAGAAATCCTCCCTAGGGGATTACAAAAATTACCCTAGTGAAGGCCCCCTGCCTTGGGGGCACAAAATAACAAAAAGCAATAACCAAAACCAGTCCTCATGGGTTTATAGCCCAAATTCTACCAATGGTTCCAAAGAACTTGGGTCAAGAATTTTAAGTAGTCTTAAATTAGAATTGCCACCAAACATCTGGCATAAACAAACATCCAAGGAATAAGTTCATAATTCATATCATAAAATGCATACAAAAAAACAAAGCACCATCAGAAAGAACTAGCAGGAGTAGCAGAATCAGACAGTCATTGAGTTCATATCAGAATTTGGAATCAATTCTTGATCTGTTAAAAGAAATAGCTCAGTATGGTGGTTAACAACTGTGATCCCAAGCATTCTGGGAAGGTAAGACAGGGGAATGGCTTGAGGCCCGGATTTCAAGACCAGCCTAGGCAACAGAGAGAGACTCTGTGTACAAAAAAATTTAAAAATTAGCTGGGCCACTTGTGTCCTGTGCCTGTAGCCCTAACTGCTTGGGAGGTTGAGGTAGGAGGAATGCTTGAGGCCAGGAGCTCAAGGCTGCAGTAAGCCACGATCACACTACTGCACCCAGCTTGGGTAACAAGACCCTGTTTGAAAAAAGAAAAAAATAATAATAAAGAAAGGAAAGAAAGAAGCTTGAACAGGGCTGGGTACCACAGTTCACACCTATAATCCCAACACTTCGGGAGACTGAGACAAGCGGGCTGCCCGAGGCCAGGAGTTTGAGACCAGCTGAGGCAACATAGAGAGATCTCATCATCTCTACTTGTTAAAAAAAAAAAAAAAAAAAGCTAAAATTTGCTGGGTGCAGTGGCTCATGCCTGTAATCCCAGCACTTTCGGAGGCTGAGGCGAGTGGATCACCTGTGGTCAGGTGAATTCCATCTTTTAAAAATGCAAAAATTAGCTGGGCGTGGTGGCAGGTGCTTGTAATCCCAGCTACTTGGGAGCCTGAGGCAGAAGAATCACCTGAACTCAGGAGGTGGAGGTTGCAGTGAGCTGGGATTGCCACTGCACTCCAGCTTTGGTAACAGAGAGAGACTCTGTCTCAAAAAAAAAAAAAAGTTAAAATTTAAAATTCAGTGGATGAGTTTCATAGTAGGAAATTTTATTCATATGTGATATGCTTGTTTATGTTGAAAACTCAAATACAGCTAAGTTATTAGAATTAAGTAGTAAGCAAGGCTGTTAGAGACCATTTAAATAAAGTATTGATTGTCTTTCTTCATTGCAAAACAGATAGAAAAACATATTATTAAAAATATGTCATTTATTACAAAAAAATTAGCTGGACATGGTGGTGTGTGACTGTAATCTCAGCTACTCAGGAGGCTGAGGCAAGAGAATCACTTGAACCCGGGAGGCAGAAGTTGCAGTGAGCTGAGATCGCGCCACTGCATTCCAGCCTGGGTGACAGAGTGGGACGCTATCTTAGGGAAAGAAAGTCATTTATGATTTCATCTAGATGTGTCAAAATCAAAGAGAAAGAAAGTAGAACAGTGGTTACCAGAAACTGGAGAAAAGGGAGAATGGGGAGTTAGGGTTTAGCAGATACAGAATTTTTCAAGTTTGGGATAATGGAAGAATTCTGGAGATGGACAATGGTGATGGTCGCAAGAATGTGAACATACTTAATGCTACTGAATTATACACCTAAAAGGGGTTAAAACAAATTTTATGCTATGTATGTTTTACCACAATAAAAAAAATATGCCACTTGCAACTGCATTTTTAAAAAGTGCTTCTAAATAAATCTAACCAAAGATAGGCAGCCCTTTATGAAACAAATTAGTAAAAATGTATTCAAAGACACTTAATAATTGACGTTCATAACAAAACATCAATTGATTGGTGGATTCAATACAATTATAACTAAAATTTAAACAGAATTTTTTTGTGGGACATGATAAGCTAACGCAAATTTTGATGCAAGTTACAAAAAGGGCCAAGGGCAGTCAAGATGCTCCGAAGAAAAACAAGATAGAGGGACTTGTTTTACGTATCAAGAGCTACACTAATAAATAATAAATAACACAATAACAAATAATAAAGCTATAATAACAAGATGGAATGGCACCAAGGTAGAGACAAACTGGCCTATGGAATAGAATGGAAAGCCCACAGCAATCACTAAAGAACATTGAGAAAAGAAGAGAATGGACAATAAATGGCGCTGAATAGGTGATTATCTACATGTGGGGAAAACAGAATTAGATCTCTTCCCCATATCCCATATACACAGAAATTCAATTCCAGATGGTTTAAAGACAGATTCGAAAGAATAAAAAATGTCTCTAGAAGACAATACAGACTATTTTTATGAGTTCGAAGTAGAAAACAATTTCTTAAATCTTTCTCTCAAATGCATGCGTGCACGCGCACACACGCACGCACACACACACACACACTCTCTCTCTCTCTCTCTCTCTCTCTCCCCCTTCCTCCCCCCAAATCATAAAGAGATAAACTCAACTTTATTAAAGACTTTTTCTTCATCTTCTAACAGCCTACAATGATTGAAAATACAAGGTTCAGAAACGAGCGATATGTACAACATACATAACATACATGACAGACAAAAGTTTGTTATTCAGAATGCATTATAAACTCTTACATATCAGTAAGTAAATAATGAACACTCAATAAAAAAATGGAGAAACCTGTCAAAGGGCAATCAAAGAATAACAAACATAAATGGCCAGTAAACATATGAAAAGATGCTCAATCTCATTAGTCATCAAAGAAGTTCGTGATTAACATCTGTGAGAAACTACAAGTTTCACGATATCAAATGCTAGTGAAGATAAAGGGCAGCAGAAGTGTTTATACCCTGCTGGTGGGCATATGTATCAGCATAACCACTTTGAAAAATTTGTTCATATTTTAGTCAAGTTAAACACATATACTTCCAATGATACTATAATTTCACTCTTAAATACATTCCCCGGGGAATCTTTTGTCTGTGTGCACCTACAGAATGTGGAAAAATGTTGACCGGCAGTTTTTGTAACTGAATTTTAAAAAGGCTATTAAGATTCAAAGGCTCAACAGTTCCAATATTCACAGAATGAACTAGAAAAAGAATGAATCACAGCAACAGGTAAGAATATCTGTCTCAGATGAGTGAAAGGAAGTCTCAAAGAATACATATAAAGTTGAAAGCCGGTATCTAGTTTAGGAAATCAAACATGTAGTAAAACTATAAAAGGAAAATGAGGGAATGATAAAATTTTGGTCAGTGGCTCCCTCTGGGGGGTAAGGGGATGAGGACATGAGTGTGTGGAGCTTTTAGGGATCTTGAAAGACAACCTTTTTACATCTGGCCAAGAGGATCTTGCAACCATTCTTCTCATTTGCATTTATTTTACGAAAATTCTCATATATACAACCAATATATATATATATATATATATTTTTTTTTTTTTGAGACGGAGTTTCGCTCTTGTTACCCAGGCTGGAGTGCAATGGCGCGATCTCGGCTCACCGCAACCTCTGCCTCCTGGGTTCAGGCAATTCTCCTGCCCCAGCCTCCTGAGTCGCTAGGATTACAGGCACGCGCCACCATGCCCAGCTAATTTTTTGTATTTTTAGTAGAGACGGGGTTTCACCATGTTGACCAGGATGGTCTCGATCTCTTGACCTCGTGATCCACCCGCCTCGGCCTCCCACAGTGCTGGGATTACAGGCTTGAGCCACCGCGCCCGGCCACCAATATTTTATTTTTAATTCCTTCCTTCCTTCCAAACAAAAAACAAAAATAGAAAGTAAAGCTGGAATTGTTTACAATAACCTCTGGGCTGTCAATTCAAGGTGAAAAACTGGAAAACCAGCATAGTTTTGGCAGATTGTAGATTTCTTTTTGAACAAGGTCTCAAAGTCACCCTGGCTGGAGTCTAGTTGCACAGTCTTGGGTCACTAAGGCCTCGATCTCCCAGGTTTAAGCAATCCTTCTACCTCAGCCTCCTAAGTAGCTGGGACTACTGGTATGCACCACCATGCCCGCATAATGTTTGTATTTTTTTGTAGAGATGGGGTTTCACCATGTTGCCCAGGCTGGTCT